CAGAAAGTTGGCAAAGAACTTCACGGCATAGGGTGTAGGACCCTTTGCATCCACAAAAGTGGCTGCCACGGACAACGTCCGGCTGTCTTTGATCACCAAGATAGGCTTGGCTCTTCCATCTTCCTTGCCATCTGTAGTCATGAAGGTGTAGTCGCTCGCGATGATGGGTAAACCGTCATCTCTCTTACTCTCCTCGTCTCGAGACCTGTGTTGCTGACCTAGGCCTCTCCCAGCAACGCAATGCCGGCACCAAGTCCTGTACTGAACATGGCCTGTGGACTCATGCTCGTCCACCTCCGCCCTTGTCGGGTTCGCTGGTGCGTGCACCAACGCAGGCGGTGCAATCTCCTCACTCTCCTCTTCTCTCTCAGGAACACCCTCAGGTCGGCCCTCAGGTGCTCCGTCCTCATCTCCTCGTCCGGCGGGCGCGGCATCATCTGCCGCTGCCATGGCTTGGGCCGGACTTACACCACTGTGGGCTGCCGCCCAAAACCCTGAGTAGGTGCCTTCGCCTTCAGGTAGAAGTTGTAGACACCTTTCTCCTGGTACACCGGAATCCATGCCTTCGCATGGTGCTTGTTCTTCTCCTTCTCAATGAGCTCCAAGATCTTGCCAGAAACCTTGGAGTCCTGCGGGATCAGATTCCCGCCATGCTCGTCTAGCACCGCAACTCTGCCGTGCTTCAAGCATTTGTAGGCCGAGACCAAGGGTTTGTGTACCGGAGCCAACGGGCCTGTGACACTACAACAGTGCCCATACTCTCCGGTTCCTTTGAACACACCCGTACCAGTCCCACGGACCAGCTCACCTGAGGCCGTCTTGAACATAACCTCAGTTCCTTCCTTGACCGGCACTTTGTCTGCCCAGTCCGATGGGATTGCTGTCTGGGCTGCACCGGTGTCCAAATTGAAGCGGACCCATTCCATAGCCTGGAGGTCCTCTCCAGCTGTAAGTGCACCCAGCTCAAACATACCCACATCGAGCTCTCCTTCGGGTTGTTCTTCTTCATGGGCTCCCTCACCTGTGTCCTCTTCCAGTGAGTTCGCTCCTTTGTGCTTACCCTTGCTCTTGCCTTTCTTTCCACCTCCTTTTGAGCCTTTGCTTGAGCCTTTGTTTGAGCCATCCTTCTTTTTACTCCAGCACTCCGCAGCTTTATGCCCGGCTTTACCGCAATTAAAGCAAACTATATCCTTGGAAGTTGAACCTTTTCCCCCACTGCCCTTGTCTTTACCTTTGCCCTTACTCTTGCCCTTTCCACCGGATCCCTTGCCTTTGGCCAAGCTGTTGATGACCTTTGTGAGGCTGTCCACGTCCATGGGCGCCGGACCACTGTCCGATGAGGATGCTGCGCCAGGGCGTGAAATCGGTGCCTTACTTCCCAAAGAGGATTCAATCACAAGGTCAATTTCTGATTTCATCTGTGCGTAGGTTGTGAGGCGTCCTTTGTTCAACAAAAGGTGGCGTTCAATGTCTGAGGGTACAAGCAACTCCAAGCTGGTCGCCTTTATGTCTTCTGACAGGCGTTCTCTCTCACCAGCTTCGTTCTTGCGATTTTCATATCGCCTGAAAAGGTCCTCTAGTTGCTCTATTGCGGCCCTCACATTTTCCCACCGTTTCACACGTTCTGGGTTCAATATCGCCCGGAGTATGTTTCTCTTCCGTCCGGCGGTTAGGGGATCCCACCGGCGGTGGATTCTTCTCCACGCTTCGAACCCATTAGAACAGCCTATCACCAAGTCCTCAGTCTCTCCATGGGTTAAGGAAGAAAGCAAACGAAACAATTGGTCCCCTATGTCTGGTAAACCGGACACCCCGTCCGGCTCCCCATGCGCGGCCTCGACTTCGTCCACAGTGATGTCGTCGGGCCCATCCTGATCGAGGCACCAATCCAATACTTTCTCAAATTCCTTCCCAAAGATGCTGACAACAAGGTTTGTGACTGAACGCACCCACTTCCGGAACGTATGCTCTTCATTGTTGAACCGTTCCGGCTTACCAATCCCCTTTGTGTCAACCAACAGCTTCCTGGGTTCCTCTCTTTTTGTATTCCTGGCCAATTCTGTCATGCTTTCGGCCAGCCGGGTCAACAGGGCAGTTTGTTCCTGTTGCCTCTGTTGCTGCTCGCGCAACACTCTATTTTCCTCAAGGATCTGCTGCAGTTGCGCTTGTATGGCAGCTAATTCTGCCATTGGCCCTCGGCAGACTATACGTCTGCCTCGCTATCCTCGGCGGGCTCCTCCACAAAGATCTCGGACCCCGACGTGTAGGTTTCCGAGTCTGTGGGCTCCTCAGTCGGAAAGCGGACTCCGGACCACTTAGGCTGCGGAGCTCCCGGTGGCTTCTGCTTGGGCTTGAGGAACACCGGTGGGCCTTTACTGCTTTTGGCCACTTCCTCACCCGGCTTTTCCTCGGGCTGAGCTTGGGCTGCAACTTGACCTTTGCTGCAGGCTTTCCGGATGCTGTCTTGGGCACAGGTGGCGGCTTCTTCGCCGCGGGCTTGGGGTTCACTGCAAGGGCCTTTGATGCAGTGGTGACAGCAGCAGGTGCGATAGGCGTCGCGCCCTTCGCGCCCTTGCCTTGGCTCGCGATGCGCGCCGCACGCTCCAACACCCACGGGTATTGGGCGCGGTGCCTCTCGTCGCACGAGCTGCAAGCCTTTGCTAGGCTGTCACGGGCCAACACCTGGGCCCTGATCGCTGCCTCTACGGCAGCTCCGGCTGTTCCTTGAGCCGGTGCTTTGCTCTCGGCAATTTCCTGAGCGATTGCCGCGTTCCTCAGGCGGTAGTTGCTGGCCAATGCAGACTCCGGGGTGGCTTTGCCTGCACGCACTCTGCGCAATGCTGCCTCTTGCGTGGCTAGCGCCACACTGATCACGCGGCCTGCAGACTTCGCCGCGGCTGCCACCTCCGGCAGCAATGCAATTGGCTCAGCGCCCGGTGCTGCTGCCTCCTCAGCTGCTGCGGCTGCTTTGGCAGTGGGCTCCTCCTCCTCCTCCGAGGTGCTTCCACTGGTCGGCCTTCTCTTACGGCGGGTCAACTCCCGCTTAGGCCTTTGCCTTGGACCACCTGGAGGGGACTTTGGCTGCACGTTCCTGCCAAAGCCTTTGGGGACAGGCACCTCGTAGCCGTACTCTTCTTCAAACTTATCGAGGGCTTCCTGGACTGCAGGCGGGATCGGGTTATTGCGCTTCAAGTTCAACTTGACCAAGCCCCGCAAGAACCGGTAGGACCTCGCCTCCTTGGACCGGCGTCCGTCCTTCCACTTGCCGGCTGAGTTCTCCTTCACGCGGGGCCAGGGCGCCTTGCTCTTCTTCTTCTTCTCGCCCTTCTTGCCTTTGCCTTTTCCCTTGCCTGCTTCTTCGGGCTTCTCCTCAACTGCTGCAGGGGCCTCCTCCTCTGATTCTACTTGGACCTCCTCTTCCTCAGCTGCTGCTTCTGCTGCTGGTGCTGGTGCTGTGCTGCTGGCAGCCTCCGGATGCGATGAGGACGGGGCTGCCAGGGCGATCAAAGGAGATCGCCAGGTGCCCCAGGCGTCCGAGTCCGACGCTGAAGCCTCTGTGGATCTATTGAAGATCCACCCTTTGCGCGCCGGCTTCTTCGGCTCTGGGGGCTTATCCTCTCCCTTCTTTCTCTTCTTTGGTGGCTCCTCTGGCTCCTCCAGCAGCTTAGCTAAGATCCTCTCTGTCTCAGCTGCCTGCTGGGCAACGCTCTCCTCGTTGGGGGACCAATCTGGTCCCGAGGCTGGCCCCTCTTCAGCTCCTCCGAGCTGCTCAGGCCCGGTCTCCTCCACCGGGGCCTCTTCGGGCAGCTCCTCGGTCTCTGGCACGACCGAAGCGCCCTCCTCGCCTGGCGGCTCTACCGCCGCCGGGCTCCTGCCGCGTCCGCGGCCTCCCCGCCTCCAAGGCGGTACTGATCCACGCCCTCTGCTGGCGTAGTACCAAATTGAGCGCTTAGGTCCCTCTGAACCTTTACTGCTCCCCGCTACCATGAAAATCTATTTGGCCGCTTCGGAGCGCCTTATTTTCTTGAGCCAAAACATGTCGGTAGTCTCAACTGTACAACTGTATATGACAACAAGCGTATTGGGCTACATATTTCAACAAAAAGACAACAACACACAAGACTCTGTCAGCTGTCCTGACTCAGGGCATAATCAGCTTTTGTTTTGTTGTCTCGAGTCTCTTTTCGTATTTTACCGTTTCCGGCCTGTTTGCGACAGCTTCTGTGATCAAGTGCGCTGACGTAGTTCACATCCAAGCCGTAGTACAGTAAGCTAGAGATGGTTTCCTTTGATTGGACTCGTTCATTATTTAATTCTTCTTAGTTGTAGTTTGAATCAAGTTGAACTTGATACATATATGAAGTAGAATTCGAAAGAAATAGCTTGGAGGTCCCAAATTTGCTAATACAAGTTGTTTACGTGTCTACTGAATTGCAAAGAAATTTCTGTTGGAAAGAACGTCGAGTGCAGCATTTAATCATTACTTGAATTCCAATTTAAAGCAAAACAATGGTTGGATTCTGTCCTTATTACTGCCATTTCATGTCAGATAGAAATCAAGTAGAACTTGACAAATACTTTTGAGTAGCACACCCAAGGCCACTTATTGGGAGGTGCCTGAGCCAAAGCTTCTGTCAAAACAGTCCTAAATGAAGCTTCCAATGTAGTGGAATAAATCCCAGGTCTGTTTGTATTCGCCCTAGATTCCCAACCAAATTTCATCCGCCAGCTGGCCGTTCGTGTTAGGTCCTGAAAAATGGGAACATATTACAAGCGGCAACGCTTGTGCCCCTCCTTAACTTTGCCCCTTTGTAAACATCACCCCAAACAGGAAACCCAATCCAAAACCGCTACTTTCTCTCCCACCAAGAAAAAGTGCCATTCGGCGCACTGTCGAGAAGGACAGTTGTCTGAAAGGGGTCGAACGTGTTTGCCGAATACAAAGAGCCTAAAATCCAACAGGAAACTCGGGACCCAGCAACCTGGAGCGACCCTCCCACCTTGCTGTGTCTGGCAAGCGCAGGAGCTTGGCAAGGAACCGCGAGAGAAGCTCCGCCTCGCTAGCTCGTGAAGAAACCATTTCATTCAGATCCGTAGCCGTGTGGCCGGACAGGGCTAGGTTCGGACATGGACTCCCCCTATTTGAGTTGGGGGGGCGAAGCTGCGAGTAATCCGGAACAAAAGTGGCCGGCTCTCCGAGGCCACTGAAATGATAAGCAACCCCGTATCTCCGGTTCTGCCAGTATGTGATGGGCTGTCGATTGACACTTGGCTCCCCTTGCAGAGCTTTTGAAAACACTGGGGTCTACCAAACGATACAAATGCTGATAGGTCGCACTGCAAGGGAGGGCAAAGCAAAACCGCTGCCATTGTGGCACCTGAAATTGGAATGGGACCCCTTTGAAGTTGACATCTCCACAACAATCTTGACGCCGTAAGCAAGGTCCGAAACTTGCACTGGGAACCCCACGCTTGAATCTTGGTGTCGTGCCGGAATCAACAGCGAGCTTTCCACGCCACAACCAAACACGCCAAACCCATGTTCAATTCTTCTCGACACTTGTCCCAAATGGCTCTGGCAGAATGCTGGCTCCGGAAAGAGATGTCAGCAAGAATCGCGTGGGTTGATTTTGCGATGCCCGCATGGACACCGAACATCATATGCCGAATCCCCTTGGAAGCCCTGGCTTATGCGTGCAATGCGGAACTCCTACAATGGGTGGTTTAAGTGGTTCATCAATGCTATCCTGATTGTGATGTTCAAACCCCGAAAAGGGTTTTTTCGAAAAACACACGCGCAACATGGTGCGTAGCATTGCTGTCTGCCCGCCCACACCTTGTCTGCCCCGTGGTCGGCCATGGCAAATACCGGCTGGCGGGACCCTGACGTGTAGAAGGCACGTTCTTGTGGCTGTCGCCATATTCAGAAGGATATTCTCGCGGTGGACCCGCCAGGATTCCAACTGGGGAACTCGACAGAAGCCAAAGGCGACTGGGGTGAAACCCTCTTGTAAAATATCTGCTTTCACTTCAGCTCCCAACTTGTAACCGAATCCGAGCCCCATTGCTTAGGACACCATCCATTTGCAATTGTCCTAGATTCTCACCTTCCACATTTGAATAAACATTCAAGCCACCAGTACCTCTAGCCCGAGAAAACTTGGTGTAAGTGTTTGTTGCTCAGCGCCTGGTTGTTTTGCCCAAAGCTCAGAGCCGAGAGCGCGCAAGGCATTGATTCCTGCAACTCCTGTTGCTCAGAAAGTCCCCAACTCCGGGCGCCCTTTCCAAAAGAAAGTCTAAGCCACCAACTGAACGTTTCCTCACATGAGAACACTTGCGATGCAAAACTTCGCGCGGGCGCAATTCAAGGAAGGTTAGGGAGGTTCCCGCGTGGTCTGAAGTTTTCGGCGGCAGGTTCTGGGGTGGTCTGGAGCTAGGTTCTGGAGGTTCGGGGTGTGCCAGGTGAAAAGGTTTGAGGGTGCCCAGACCGCGTCCTCCAAACCCAGGGTTGCCAGTCAGATCAAGATGGTAGCAAAGCCAGTTGGCTAAGAGTTTTAATCTAGTGTCTGGATACGAAAGTGGCATTTTGAGGTCCATTCTCTAGAGCACGCTCCAGTCTCAAAACTACTTCCCATGACGAAACAACATGTGGCCAATGACAAAAACAGAATTGAAAGTAAACAGGACATGCAGATTGCACTGCAATGCGCTGTTTCTCCATCAAAAGCCGTCGTCTGAAAGCTGCGACGCGTGTCGCGACGCCTCAGGCCATGCCCCGAACTTTGCGCGCGCAAATGCCCAGAATGCAGTCAAGCCTGAGGGCTGCGTAAAGCACTGCAGCAAGCCACCAAAGCACCTGCGTGGATAGTTCAAGTTTGGGAGGCTTGAAGCACTGCCTACGGCTGTTTTTCAATCTGGCGCTCTGATCTGCCAAGGAGTCCGCTGCATTGCCTGCGCAAGGCCACTGGGTGAGGGAGTTCAAAGTGTTGAAAGCTGGCCTCTTCCCTTGGTGGGCTGCTCAAGAAACACCAAAACAGCGTCTGTGCCTCAACTATTGGCAACACTGCTAAATGCTGCCGCTGCACCGCGACACACACTCAGATGAGTCAGTCAGAGTGAGTCAGCGCGAGGGCGTGGGTGAGTGTGAGTGTGTGTGTGTGTGAGTGAGTGAGTGAGTGAGTGAGTGAGCGAGCAAGCGAGTGATGGGCCATGAAATTTGCAAGACATCTCCAAGGTGCTGCGCCTGTCACGCAAAACGGAGGCCCTCCGCCTCGCGCTCGACAACATCGAGTTTCTTCAGGCAGCTACCAAATGCTGTCCGTGCCAGCAAACGCACACCCAGATGCAGGGACATCTCCAAAGTGCTGCGCCTCTCACGCAACATGGGGCCCTCAGCGACAACCATGCAGTCGTTTTAGGCACCTGCGAAATGCTGCCCCTGCCGCGCAAACACACGCCCAGATGCAGGAACTGCTGCTCCTGTCGCGAAATTTGCAAAGACATCTCCAAAGTGCCGTCACGCAAAACGCTTTAGACAGCTACTAAATGCTGCCCATGCCACGCAAACGTGCACCCAGATGCAGGAAATGCTGCGCCTGCCACGAAATCCGCAAGCCATCTCCAAAGTGCTGCGTCTGTCACACAAAACGGGGCCCTCAGCCGCGCGCTCGACAACATCGAGCCCCTTCAGACAGCCACCAAAACGCAAACACACACACACACACGAGTCAGTGAGAGTGAGTCAGTGTGTGAGTGAGTGCGAGTGAGTGCGAGTGAGTGAGTGAGTGTGAGCGAGCGAGCGAGTGGGTGAGTTAGTGAGTGACATGGCGGGCGGGCGACGGTGGGCGACGGCTGGCGGGGCGAAGGCGGGCGACGCGGCCGAACAGCGAGCGGTAAACGTAAGAACCCCACACAAAGATGTGAGGAACTATAGGGAGCGGCGCGAGCTCATTGGAAACGGCCTGGAATGGATGATTCTTTGTTGATGCCTTGGGTATCATTCTTGTGGCTACACGGGGGCTACGCCATGAAGGAGAAGGGGCTCTGGAAAATCGAGGCCTACAACTACCACAAAATGCAGCCGCTCTCACAAAGCGCCTCCTCCAAACCCAGGGTTGCCAGTCACAACAGAGTCGTCAAGATGGCTGGAAAACCGAAGTCAACTAAGAGATTTAATCTAGTTCCCGGATCGAACATAATTATTTTTAGTTTCATCATCCAGAATACGCTTCAGTCTCAAAAAGTACTTCCCGTGCAGAAAACACCATGTGGCCTGAAGATTGCACCGGGCCGCACTGTTTGTCGATCAAAAGCTGCCGTCTGAAAGCTGAGACGCGTATCGCGACTCCTCAGGCCATGCTCGAACTTTGGGCGCGCACATGCCCAGAACGCAGTCAAGCCTGTGGGCTGCGCAAAGCACTGCACATTGAACCTGCTCTGGGATACGGCCAGCATCCAACGAATCCCTGCGACATGTCTGCGCTCTTGGAGCTGTAGCGTGTGGACTGCGTGCGCATTTCCGCCGGGACTTGCGGCTCAGCATTAGTCTCGAAACGGCGCAACGTCGTAGTGGCAAGCCTGCCAAGAACAACTGCCTGCCAGAACGCTGAAATCCCTTCTTCCAGCAGTCAACTCATTAGACTTTCCAGGCGCGCAGCAAGCTTGGACAGCAAGGCGGAAGAAATCAATCCTCGCCAGCATGTGCGTGGGCCGATTAGCCTCCATGTTGAAGCAGTGACTGGACTGCAATCGTTTCTTCTCAGGCCCTTTGTTGTGGGGAACCAACACTGGGCCCTGCGGTATCGGGCAAAGGGTGGCTGGAAAGCGATCGAAAGTCAGGCAGCATCAAATGAGTAGGGCTCGTGTGACTGTGTTTGGATTTGAAGCCTCGCCTGACAGGCATCTACGGCATGTTTAACAGCCAACTGTTCAACGCCTCCTAGCATAGTTCGTGCAAGTGCGAAACAGGAAAGCTCTGTGAGGCAAACAAAACGAATCCTGGCGTCGCCAGGTGTGGATTTACACGTGAAGCGTCAGGACAATTTGGGCAAACAGAAACAACACGAGCCACCCTCAAGATGGTACATCATGGCCACTCACCACGGCGGAAAGCCAGACGCAACACTGAGAAGCGGCCACGTGAATGTCAGAACTCGTCGCAAACTGGCCAAGCTCAGCAACGCTACTACGACGTTCCGAGCCAGTACGCAGACTGATTGAACAAGCTCATCCTAAGGTTGCACGCACAGCCCTGCGTCTTGCGCAGGCAGTGTCTGGATCTGCGTGCTGCGAGTAAACTCCTGGGCTCCGCGGTTCACTCTGTGTGTCATTTGAAACATCACTGCAGCACTCAAAGAGGGGGGCCGTGGGATGGGCTGACCGTAGAAGGCGGGGTGAACATCCCCAACACTCACAAGAATTTCACGGCACAAAAGCCCTCCAAATGCTGAAAGGGCATGATGTCGTTCAATCGGAAAGGAGCCCGGCACGGATGGCAGACCCTAAGCAGGCATGCCAACAGGGCAACTTCCTGAGCGGGTCTTGGCAACCAGGCTTGCTGCGAAACAGGCTGGCGCTGCAGATGGCAATCGAACAATGTGGCTCACTGCGCGGATCAGCTCACTGCAAACCGGCCTCGTACACAAAGCTGCCGCTTCCAATGTTGCAGCTGCCACCTGGATCGGTGGGCATAGGCGCAAGCATGACACGAGCGAGCCTTGCACGCTTCAGGCCTCGCTAATACGCTGTGCAGGGAACGTAAGATATTCTACCTACCTTCTTAAAAGGCAACGCTGTAAATGGTCAACTCGTATCTTTTACGGTGTCAAAAAAAGTTCCCCTTGCCCGGCACAGATAAGCAGGCCTGCGAAGAGGGCGACGCGCTAAAGCTGTCCAAAATGCCCGGCACGGATGGCAAACCCTGAGCAGGCGTGCCAAAACGGCAACGTGCGAAAGCCAAACAGTCGTGCCGTGCAGGACTGCGCAGGTAACATCCCTCCGGTGCTCAAGGCAACCAGAGTGGCTGCCGGCACAAAGCAGGCTTGGGACCGCAGGCTTTCACGCTGCGTGACTTGAAGGGCTTCTTGCCTGTGCAGAAAGAGCACCTCAACAGGGGCTTTGAGATTATCCACCCAAACATTCCCACCCGCCCGCCCCAAAATGGCGGATTCCTTTTCGTGGAACGGGTCACGTTTTGGGATCCGGTCCCTATTCTTTCATGATACCTTCAAATAAACACTGTGTGTGTCCGGCAAACAGCTGCAGCTCTCCAAGAAGGCAGGGGCAGGGAGGTGGGGCGACCACTGGCAGCGAATGCTGGCTCGGGACTCCGCACGAGGAGACTGCAGGCTATCACGCTGCGTGACTTGAAGGGCTTAGTGGCTGTACAGAAAGAGCACTTCCAACGGGGCGTTAAGCTTATCCACCTGGCGACTAAAATTGAAAGGATAAATTGTCATATCATGGCGCTTGCAAGCCAAGCAACCTTCCGCGACGATATTAACGATATGCTTCGCGGAAGCTTGCACGAGCTTCCGCACCCCGAACCATTCCTTCCGCAGAATCCATGTTTGCGCCCCGCGACCAGGTCTTTTTAGGGGACCGCAGGCCAGGTTCAAGATGGCTTCAAGATTTGTCCACCTGAAAATTGCCCCCTGCCCACCCCCACAATGGTGGATCCCTTCTAGCGGAACAGGTCATGTTTTAAGATCCAGGATCGTATCTTTCATGGTGCCCTCAAAAAATGTGGCGAAACTGCTGTGAGTTTCACTCCGTGCGTCCGGCAACCCGTTGCAGCACCCCAAGAAGGCAGGGAAGGGAGGTGGGGCGACAACTGGCAGCGAATGCTGGCTTGGGACTCTGCACAAGGAGAATGCAGGCTATCACACTGCGTGACTTGAAGGGCTTAGTGGCTGTACAGAAAGAGCACTTCCAACGGGGCGTTAAGCTTATCCACCTGGCGACTAAAATTGAAAGGATAAATT